GTACCACTCAAGTCCACTAATTTTTTTCCACCTGTCAAGCGTAGATTGTAATTCCGCCCAACAAGTTCTTCCACGTTCTATTATTCGATCGTTGAAAACGAGTCAAGATCCCATTATATTTTGCTCACATTACAAAGACCGCAGCCATGGCACTACGTATTGCACATGTAAATTTAAATTGCATATGTAAATTCAAATCGCACAAGAACGTTACAATTAAGACACTATCGCTTGCGCATTGGAACAAAAAATTGCCCGAAAACTAGGTCAACGAAAATGGGCCTAGTTCCCTTTGTTTCTTGAAGGTAGCAAAGGGTAACATTGAAGAAGACCTGTCACTTAAGGAAACGAGGGTAACGAAGGACAGGGCTTGTTAATGAGGGTTATAACAGGGTCACCAAAAAGAGAACCTAATAATGAGGGCAACTAGGGTAACTAAAAAGAGAACCTGATAATGAGGGTAAATAGGGTAACCGAAAAGAAAATATGTTAATGAGAGTGCATTGATTTTGCCACTGACCGTAATAGAGGAGAAGCGATCACGGTACTGGCAGGTGGAAAGAAATGTCGAAAAAACGTCATCAGCGAAAAGCATTACGGTGATTGGGCGTGGATCTCAAGGTAGTCGCGTAGAATAAAACAGGAAACCTGTGCTCCATACTTTTTTGTAAAATTACTAAATCAAGAGGCAAATTTTAGAAATAGAAAAAATTTTACTAGAAAAGGAAACTTTTTAAGAAGTGGTCATAAAACTTGCTTGAAACATTGTAAACGCTTGATGAAATCCACTCATTAAGTACTCAATAAAGTACCGTTAGAGGCAATAAAGTGCATGTTTGGAAGTACATCTGTCTAAACAACCACCAAATTGAGATGGCTGAAAATTTTAATGTAATTACAAAAAACATCAGGACTCTCAAGTAATACTCGCGTCTTCGGGATGCCATTCCCAGCATGTCTCATCTGTGATTTGCTTTTTAATTTAATTTGAAAATTAATCAAATTGCTCAAATGATCTAGATTGTCTCAACATTGAATCTGTCTCCGCTCCATAAGAAATTCGAAATCAATTTAATAGTTAATTATCGTACCTGAGATCCACGCCATACAAGTACGACAAATACGTCCACATCCTTCATCTTAGGCAATACGACGGGCGAAACACGTCCTAAGCACGCTTCAGCTGACTGCACTTCTATATATTCATGAATATAATCAACCATCAACATTCTTAATTCAACATTTGAAACATGAACTAAAAATCGAGGGGCCACAACTATTCATTTTGCGTCAATTTTAGACAATGATAAATTTGGCGGAAAATCTTGGTTTTTCTTTTTTAATCTTCAAAAATAATCGTTATGAGCTAGAAATTTTAGCAAGTCCCCGAACACTTAATTAAAATTGGAAAGCTATACAAGATAATGATTGAAATTCCCAGGAAAAAGCAGCGAATGACAAAGTGAAATTGATTCAAATACTGCAAGAAGCATGTGCGTGCTTGGAGGTCTGCTCGTCCTATTAACCTATAGACGAGTATTAAAGTGAACAAGAGAGTACAGATAATGAAGTAGAAACAGGTTCAAACTGGCTCATTTCAATCTATTTATATTGAGTACAATTTTTAGGTAGGCAATTAATATGTAACAATTAAAAATTTAGATATAAACATGAAGAATTTTGAAGTACACTGAATATAAGTTCGATTGATAAAAAAATTTGTGTAAAATAAGATAAAATATTTTATAAACAAAGTTGATTTTAAAAAGTCAACATGGAACCAGTTTCAACAGAATACACGAGGAAAGATATAGAGAAGAATTTTAGAAAAGAGAAGTCATAAGGTAAATAATTGATGACTTATTATTATTATTATTACTGTAAAATTACTGAATAATATGGGCAGACTTTCAATATCTATTTTTCACTCAAATAACCTATGCACAGGCAACAGAGAAGCAGTGGTTGAAAATACAAATGTGAAACATTGAAAAGCAGGGCGGAAAAAGACTTCATTGACAATAAAAAAACATAACGTGATCAGAGTAATGGGTAAAATGTTAAATGTACTAAAAAAAACGAACTTAATTAACCGAAGTTTTAAATGATAGTTAATAACAGAATACATAACATCAAGTGAAGTGCCTTCCCTACGCATACAATGGAATTGAAAAAAAAGTTAGATAATATCCATGAATAAATTGTTTTAATCAGTTCAAAATGAACGTTCTTGTGGTCCCATAATGCCTTTCGAGCCCTCTCCTCCCTTATAGGTCCTCAATACATTAGGAAATAGTAACGAATATATAAATAAATACCTATATTCATATACGTATACGTATACATCTTTAAATTCTCTAAACTCTGACCTTCCATGACGATTATAAAGGACTAAAAAAACCATACGCAAGAGACGTTGAATAACATCAAAGTTTGTTAAATTCGAATTTTTCAAAACCAACGAGCTTTTATTTCGTAACGACTTTATTATCATAACAAAATGACCACATGCATCTTCAGAGGACGAAATAGTTAAATATATGTAATAATTATTAGGAACAAATATAATTACTAAAACAGTTGTACTCAATGTACATTTCTTGATAAAAACAATAGTAAGAAACGGATTAATTACAATCAGAGTAAAGAATAATAATAATAAGGAAGCTTCAAAAAGTCAGAAATTATGTTTAAGGAGAGCGTCTGGTCAAAATTTAATCTCGGCTATTTACAGACGAATGACTTTGAAATTTGGTAAACATGTATAAAACCGAAAAATATACAGCTTTTATTCGTGTCAATTTTTCGAAACAAATGAAAGAAAACGCGAAATTCTTAGAAAACTGCCAAAAAGGGGGTAATGTAGAAATCTATCTCCTCCTAGGATTTTCAAGCTACAACATCGAGACGCATATCATTCGATGCGTAAAGACCATATCTATCGATTTATTATTGCTTTTTTCGAAACTCCAATTTTTGTGGGTGGGAGAGCATTTTTCGTAAAATTTTCGAAAATTTTTTGATTTCCCCCAATTTCCGCCCCCTTTTTTCAAAATATTCTCAAAACTATAACGAAATTGAAAAAAACAACGATAAATCGATAGATCTTTTATTTGCGAATCGAACGGTATATCTCTCATTGCTGTAGCTCAAAACCTCTAGGAGGAGATGGGTTTGCAGTGACAATAAGTTAATTGTTCAGTAGAGCCTGACAAAGTCCCGAGCGCCTCGAAATAGGCGTTCAAGGTGGCAAGAATGCAAGACTAGGCGATACTGGAGCTCAATTCCTGTCAAGGATGGTGTTAACGACGACACGCGAATCCTCCCGCACAACTGCAGGCGGATAACTGAAGCACATCGTATTTGGACTGGCTATTTAAATGTGTTACCGGTAATTTCCGCCTATCTTAAATGTGAAAGAACTCCACCACCCCCCACCCTTTCGCGATCTGTCGTGAACGCATAAGTCAACAGACAGATGATTTTGGTACCGTTGGATAAAGCAGAATGTCAGCTTTAAGATGAGACTAAAAACCGGAAAAGCCAAAATTCAAAAATTTTGGCCAGACGCTCCCCTTAAAATTAAAAACGTCCGGTTTTTACCCACAAAAATCTCGAAGAATTGTTGAAAAAAACATTATCCAAAAAAACTCAACGAGGTTGGCTTTCAATGAAAAATTTCGGCGTTTGTTCGAAAATTGAACCAAATAACATAAAATAATGTGAAAGAAAAAACACAAATTAAAAAATAGTATTTACTCAAAATTATGATATAAATGAGACGCGCAAATAAATTTTTAAAGTCATACAATCAGCTGCACAAAGTATACTAAAAAAATAATAAAATAAAATAATTCATAAATTATAGTATTTATAATTAAATAAATATAACATATATACGACAAAAAAATTATCTCACCTTGATGTCTGACTACAAATTTTCTAATCGAACAAAAATCGGACAAGTGTATGTAGTCGATCCTAATAATAATGAACAGCCGATTATCATGTTTGTACAAGCCAATCAAACTACTGGCAAAGCTTATTATAAATAAATTTAAATAAGATTACGCTTCATATTACTTATCACAAATCCTCACACAATAGACGGAAACTTAATCAATCAATTAATTTGGTACGTTGACCTTTCATTGCAGAAGGTGAAGAGCAGAGCGTAAATTAAGGGGGAACTAATTTATGTAGCGAGGGAATAGAGTGTTTCCAGAATTTCTGAGAGACGAGACTAATAACGCTAAACAAGATCGCATTGGCTGCTTCAATTAACGCTATACAACAACACATTTGCTTCAATTAACGCTATACAATATCACATTGGCTGCTTTAATTCTAATACAACTTATCTCTTTCTGAACCAAAAAATAGGACAATATACATATAGACTTGATGAAGCTTGAGCTAGGGAAGCGATGACTAGAGGACAAGACTTAGTGTAAATTAAATGTCGTACTTGCGCTGTCGACGCAACACAAAGAAAATTGCAAAGCCAGTGAAATAAAACAAGAGGCCGGCGCGCTGATGTACTGCAAGGATGACAGCTACAGGACTATAGTAGCATGACATGCTGCATGTCATGCTGCATCAACCAACAAAATAAAGCTCTGTAATATTGATTCAGTCGAGCGATGTTAGAATATATTAGGAAAAGCTTAGTTCAACAAATACCGAGTAGAACTTGGGAAAAATAGTGAGATATTCATTAAATGATAGGCATTAAGACTTCAAAAAAGTATATAAATACTCGTTCATAGCGGTGGCAAGATGCATGATGGGGCTGTAGCATTGACCGTAGAATCTAGAAGCTGATCTAGAAGCGGACATCTGCTTGAACCCATGGTCCCAAAATTTTTGGTTCAATTGTGATATATATTCGCACTATATAACGTAGCATTTTTAAATTTGCCCGTTCATAAACTTATCGTTACATTTGTCACAATATCTGCGATTTTCAAGGACCATATCTTTTGCGGAACTACCTATGGGATATATCCGTACTAAAGGCCAAATTAAAGCTTTTCAATCAAGGCATGAAGCAGATGCACGGCATTACATTCCTGTAAACCAAGATGCTTACGCAATGCTTGAATGTTTTCCTATAAAATACCAAGTTATAACTTAATTATTTGCTAAGGAACAATGTGAGTGCAACCAAGCCTCCTGTAAGGACAGCTCACCTGCTCCAAGAGACGGACCTTTCTCCGTCGCTGGGTCTCCTCCAGTCTGTCGACGGCATCTCTCAGCTCCTCGATCTCGTGTTTAGCTGCTTGCAGCGTGTCGATCTCATGCTTTATAGCGACCATGTCACGCTTCACTTCCACCACTTCACTCTGGCAGTTCTCGACGCTCGCTGTCAAGTCCTGAAGCTGGTTTCTGAAAAGCAACAGAGCGTTAAGGGAGGACCATTTCAAAACGCTGGGACGTTAGAGTGGCACTACACGACAGCGGGCAAAGTGCAGCATAAAATTGGCGATTACGAAAACGCCAAAGATTTCTAGAAACTAAGGTAATTATTAACTGTTTTCTGAGAGAAAATATGATATTTATACTTCAGCTTCAAGCTTTAGTGATAACATGAATGCGTTTTACTTTAGTAAAATTTACCATTTCCTAACCATCGCATCAATGAACAGGCATGATGATCACAAGGACGATATCACGCACCGATGCACATTATCTTCCTAACTTTTAAGAAGAAGTGATAATAAAATTTCTTTTTATCCTGAAGCTAGAGTAATTGAATGCAGTAAAATGCCTTTTCATCGTTTCGGACATTAGAAAATTAAAGAATACGTAATTATTTGGTAAAAATTAAAGTCATAAAACACGGTAATCCTAACTTTGCTAATTTTCTTATGCAATTAAACTGTACGTTCGAATTCAAAGACACAAAAAAAATAAATATCATAATCCAATTCATAAATTGAAACTACGTGTCATTAATTATGATCCAGTAAAATTCGTTAATTAAAAATATTTGTCACAGAGTGTGCAATAAATGCACTCCTGTAGATCAGAAAGTCAGGAGATAAAATAGCGTGAAAGTTGAGACGCTGAGTCAGCATTAGCTCACCTTATAGCGTGCAGAGCAGCGCTGGTGTCAGCATGCTGATGACACTGAATGTCGTCAATTTTAGATGTCAAGTTCAGGCTCATTATCGACACTTGCTTCTGTAAACTGTAGAACAGAATCGTTAGCAAAAAACTCGACTATCTGAATTTAATAACAGTAAAATGCATTAAAATACAATCTTTAGCCGAGTTCCCTCACAAATTAATTTTTATTAGAATAATATGCCATATAGTCCCTTAGCAACATTCTTGCGTTACGTGAGACGGAAATTGTTTCATTTATTTTACAATATTTAAATGGGCACAGGCAATATACCGTCATTCCTATACCATGACGCGAACAAGTTCATCCTGAGGTAGTAAGGAGAATATTGGCCCCTAACAGCATGAGAAATTTTCAGAATTTGAATTAATTGTAAGTAAAGTTCGTCTCTCTTAGATTATTATTTGAATGAAAAATTTATCCAAATTCGTTAAGAGACAAACGTGAACGTCAGAATTTAAATATATTCTGATGCCTCCGCTGAGAAGTAGAATAAGTTATAAACTTTTTTGAACAATTAAATTGTAAATAACTTAGACGCACCTGAGATAATAGAAACGTCGAGCAACTAAAATAATAATAATAATAATGAAAAGAATGAATGCTTAAATAAAACAATGACGTGCAGAACAAGCATGCAATAATCACAACAAATTATCAATTAATAACAGTTCAGCATATATATCAAGATTTAAAGCATAATCATACAAACACTAACATAAAATCTTCATCTGTGATAAGCGATACACCGTTAAAACGGAAAACACAATCAAAATATGAATTTTATGTATTAAAAAATATCATATTCCACTTCTACGACTAAAACGCTTCTGTTGGAAAAGTTTTTTTCGATGTCATTTATCAATATGAACTTCCTTTTGCTAACCCTAATGCTTACGAGACTTCAGGCTCAATCAGTGGCTTCAAAATTAAACAATATATTTCAAATGATATAAAAAATATATATAATAATAATAATTAAAACTCACCTTGTGCATGGTTTTCACCGTTTGTGTGTTGGTGCTCGAAAAATAAAAAGGACGACATGCAGAGTCACAGGACGGCAAACGGCAGCTCACTTCATCACTAGTTTTCATCACAAATAAATTGCAAACAATAACATTCGAATTTAAATGCTTTGGCAAAATTAAACAGTAGGTTAGGTTCCGTCGGCAAGCAAAATCTTCCTTAGCTTTGATGAACTGCAACGGCGAACTGCTATGAAATTTCAACATCTGCTCTAATGGGGAGCAGCTTATATGCAAATAAAGGACTTCTCATCAGGAAACCACGTTGAAATAACGTTGATAAACCCTATTCCAACAAAATCAAGTCAAAATCAACGTTGTTTCAACGTCATTTGCCTGAAGGGTTCAGCCTCGAGCTGCAGGTGCATGTTTTGTTTGCGTTTATATCACTCAGAGAAACGGGGTGATTTTGTCCAAATAGCAATTCACTTTCTGCCCTCCTGTGAGTCAGCCTGGTCTTATTTGGCAGGGCAAGGTTGTATAGCAATGCTACGAGCAGGAAGTGTATTACTCTTTGGATAATATAATCCATTAATTTTTCTGATTGTACCTATTGGTAGCCAAGCAATGGACGGTAAATAGAATAAAAGGCTAAGTCAAGCTTGTGGATGCAGGCCAAAGAATGAATTTGAAGTGTAATAAAGATGAGGATAAAAGCATAAAACATCAACGAACCTAAACAACGAAAATTTTGGCACACTTGGTTGTAAATCCAGCTCGAATTTCATTACGTTCCTTATCAACCAACAACCATCTTATCGTATTTCTCGTGGTTCCATACAAAAATACCACAAGTGCAACGTTCAAATGGTAGCCAACATTTAATTTATAAAATTATGTACCAAATTTTTCGTGATCTACAGTCTACGCTTAACATAAATTAATGACGTTCACAAAAGAAATTTAGTTGCATTCGATTTCGGAGCGTGCATTCGACTGCGTTCAAATTCAGACATTCTGAACAATTTGTCAAGAGCCGTGCTATCAAAAATAGTACCGGTAGCGAGTTCGTAACTCAGCCAACCCCTGAAAACTTTCCAAGCTAAACCGGCCAATTGCAGATGAGAAATTGGCCACTAAGTGTACTTGGGCCGCTAAGTGCACTTGGGGCGCTACGTGTACTTAGGCGGTTATGTAAGCACTTTTGAGTACTTTTTTCAAGTAACTTTTGATAGTACGGCTCCTGTCAAGAGAAGCTGAAGCCAACACTCACAGCATTATTCCGCTAGACTCATCTGGTCCTTGACCTCCCTCGGTGTATTCCTGATACGGGTCCATAGTTCGCACGCAACTAAACTACCTTCAGGCACACATAACCAATGCAAAACGGAACGTCATCGGATGTGTTCGAGCAAATGGGCGAGTCCTGTTGGGTTCAGAAAGAGAGATGGAACGAGTGTAAGTGAAGGGGAGGGTGTGATTAAGACATCAGTGATACTGCCTAGGCAAGTAACTGTAGTTAATAGAGGTCAGAACAGTTTATTCCCGATGCGGTAACAGTTAATGCCCCAAGGCAGTAAGAGTTTATGTCCAAGGCAGTAAGAGTTTATGTCCAAGGCAGTAACAGTTGATGCCCAAGGCAGTAACAGTTGATGCCCAAGGCAGTAACAGTTGATGCCCAAGGCAGTAACAGTTGATGCCCAAGGCATTAACAGTTGATGCCCAAGGCAGTAACAGTTGATGCCCAAGGCAGTAACAGTTAGCAGGGATGAAACGAGGAGGCGATGAGAGGATAATGAGGTGATGGGTGCGAGAAAAAAGGGAAATAACACAAAACATAAATAATGAGTTAATATTGTCAATGATAAAATATAAGATTAGTCGCATTTTATAAATAAAATATAAAATGCTGCTAAAAACTACGAAATCAAATTTGAACAAATCCGTTACAATCAATCCACTTCGTTTGTGATCCAGAATTGTTATTATACATGTTATATTTAATTAGGCAACTGTGGCAGCAAATTTCAAAACGGCCAATTAACATTTTATCGACTTGGTTTTGTTTTCCTTTGAATAGTTTTCGTAAAAGACGTAAAAGCTTTCGTACTTATTCACTCATAATGAAACTTTCATATTATATTTTACATAATAGTTGCATCGTTGTTCATTGATTCATGATGAAATGTTAATTCTCTTTAAATTGGACCTCTCAACTAAACGTATCAAGGGATTCACAATAAACGAAGAATTTTCCTCCACAAAATTTTTTTCAAGTTCTCTTCATGAGAATTTACAATTTATTGAAAATTCTTTAACAAAAAAAAAGGTTGACGGAACAACGCTCTACGAGTTCAATATTTATTGCGACGATATAATGTATCGCCACGCGGTTTTCTTCTTTACCGAAGTCTTCTCACCGATGATGTCCTAAATATAGTTAAACTCTATTTCAAATAAATTAACTCTCATTACCAGGCATTTAGATGTAAAAAGCATTAACGACGGTTAATCTAATCGTAGATGGAGGACTGCCGTCCTGACCCCAAACCCATTCTCTACAGCCATTAAATTCCTTCACAGTCAACCGGGGAACTTTGTTCTTCATAACACCACGGATAAGCAAGCACTGAGCGAAATCCAATATTGGTTTCCCGATGAAATTTAAAAGAACTCGCGTCTCCACCATAGAACGAAATTACTCGCGGCGAACGAATTTTAGGATACAAATGAGAATATTGAATTAATAAACAAAAGCGAAATGTGGCACCGTAACCATGAACATCATCTGCATATAACAGCATGCAGCATTAACATCTTTCTTTCTTAGTCAAATCATTTTGATTATTTTTTCATTTGTACGACGGAACTTAAGACACATTAAGCGAATATTATCTATGAACATCACCTTACCAGCGGAATCAATTCGTCTCGAAAGCAAGGACAAAATATTACTAAGGGGAAAAAATTTAATTTCACTGAGGACTCTAAAAAGTTTAAATATACCAAAAGACGCAAAACTAGAGCGCGAATACAGTGAAATATTCGGCCAGCTTGCACTCTGTGCCTAAATTTTTCATATTCGGTGACGCGCAAATGCGCTTTAATAGAACCGGAACATTCCTCTTTACCGATTCTGATTCCGTAGACCAAGAACAATCTGAATAATGAATAGTACAGCCAGATATGCAGGAGTTTAGCTTGCAGGCCGCTTTAGGCAGCAACGTTTTTCAAAATCGATGTTTACATAAACCTGTTATACTGAAAGCCATGAAATTTCTATAAATATTTCTATCAATTTGAACTTCGCAGCAATTGCAAAGCCGAATAAGAAAAATCATTAATTAATTGAGGTATTAATTAATTATAAATTAATAAATTAATTAATGTTTAATTAACTGATCTCAAAGAGTTACAAAATATCATTTAATTCTCGGCTTAAAATGAACTCTATATAATTCGCAAAATGGAAATATTTTAAAACCAGTGATAAAATTTTTCCCTGAACAAGATACAAACAATAAATACGGTGAGATTATACTTCGTCTAGAAAAAGATTCTCTGGTAATAACATTTTCCATTACAACTTAAACCGGTTATCCTTCAAAAAACTTGCGTAATTTTTTTGATTTGAATTGAATTATCGAATATTCTCACTAAAAAAACTGAGTGCAGGCCTCAGCAATATAGAAACGTGAGCTAAATGTAAACATCATGCTCGCACCTATAGAAAAAATAACACGCTACATGAAACTTTATAGAATCCGGAAGCTGCCGAAATTCTGGTGACCAGAAGCAGTTATTAATATAATATTAAATTCCATGAAATGTGTCGAGCTCATCTTGCTGAAAAATAGCAATCTTTTTAATCGAAGTTGTTTAGAAAAAACACTGCCACGTTTGCACTCAGACGGTCGGAAAATACGCCCTTTAATTTTAACCCTTATTATTTTTTAATCCTTTAACCCTTATTTTTGAAAAAACTAATTCTTATGCCCAACTAATTATATTAAGTATGGTAGACGCGGAACGAGTTGTTCGATGATGTGAAATAATCGAAGAAAATCCCGCAAACTGAACGGGCAATATTTTTCTTACAAATGAAGATTTCTCAATAAAGACATCATACTTTGAAAGAACGCATAGATGTGATGAATTTATGATGGTATCCGAGTTACCACGACACAAGGAAGCCAGCACCATGCAGAGATCGGGCAAGATAAGAGTACTCTTCACACGCAGCAGTCCCAGTCTGCATTAAGCAATAAGCATTTCATAACATCGTAAGTCATAAGTGTGAACTGAGCAGTTAGGTGCCAAGTGGAACACTAATGAAGAACAAGTTAAGCGAATCACTCGTGCTCTCATTTTGGAAACGCTTAGAAAGGTGCGAAAAACTGTAATGCCAAAAAAAAATAAACGGCTGCCCATGGGAAAAAAATTGTAAATGTCAATCACAACGAAGGAACACATTGTTCAACCAACACTAAACTCGCCAAGACAATATCGGCATTGTTCAGATTGCATGCGTCCACAACATGTTCTTAAAGAGAACCTGGACGCATCAAGACACGATGCTGTACTACACTGTACAGTGGAACTGGGCAATTGTACACTGTACAGTGGAACTGGGCAACTGTACACTGTACAGTGGAACTGGGCAATTGTACACTGTATAGTGGAACTGGGCAATTCTACACTGTACAACTAGTGCTCTTATTTTGGAATCGCTTAGAAAGGTGCGAAAAACTTATGCAAAAAAAAAAAAATAAACGGCTACCGATGGAAAAAAATCGTCAATATCAATCAAAACGAAGGAACACATTGTTCAACCAACACTAAACTCGCCAAGACAATATCGGCATTGCATAGATTGCATGCCAACACAACATCGGGTTCTTAAAGAGAACCTGAACGCATCAAGACATGGTGCTATACAGTGTAACTGGGCAACGGTACACTGTATAGTGGAACTGGGCAACTGTACACTGTACAGTGGAACTGGGCAATTGTACACTGTACAGTGGAACTGGGCAATTGTACACTGGACAGTGGATCTGGGCAATTGTACACTGTACAGTGGAACTGGGCGACTTTACACTGTACAGTGGAACTGGGCAATTGTACACTGTACAGTGGAACTGGGCAATTGTACACTGTACAGTGGAACTGGGCAATTGTACACTGGACAGTGGATCTGGGCAATTGTACACTGTACAGTGGAACTGGGCGACTTTACACTGTACAGTGGAACTGGGCAATTGTACACTGTACAGTGGAACTGGGCAACTGTACACTGTACAGTGAAACAGGGCAATTGTACAGTGTATAGTGGAACTGGGCAAGTATTAAACGAAGCCCTGGCAATCAAGCAATTGTTGCAACTGTCTCTGCGTGATATCAAGAGAGTGCAACTGCAGTTAGAGAACCAACCAACGAAATTAGAGATAATAGGTTAAGTGGTGCAGTTAACAATTACCTCCCTGTACCATCATCTCCTGAAGCAGCACGAACACTGCGCACCGTGTAGCAGTATCGTCAATACGGCGACCATGCGAAAGGCATAAAAATGAAAATTCTTTTTAATCTTTTAACATCACTATAACAAAGATCAACCTTGTTGCGCTGAAGTTGGGGGCTAAGCTCCAGCAGAAAATATTGTTACACATCCGGTATTAGAAGATTAAGTTCCACAATTCTTAGATAGTTTTCACAATGGTTTCCAGATGATAGTTTTGCAAATATCGACAGGAGTACATTGACTAAGCTGAGTACTGTTAACAAAAACATTACGATCAAACTAACCATAGAAAATCGTGTCCTAATTTCTTCTCTAATAATAGTTTATTCAAATTAATTCAAATTGCATTAATGACGTATCTCAGCACACATGATGGTGCCATGAAACGATTAAAATGATCTTCGTTGCGAAAAATTCGGATTCAGAAGTTAATCGGATTCAGAAAAAGTCAAACGGAGCAAGGCGCACTCGAAATTCATTCTTCACATTATTTATAAGTTATTCGGTTTCCATTATATTATCATTCATCCCTTATTTAACATTATAAACACAATTCAGAAACAGTCCTATCGCGTTATGCTAACAACATAACAACCTTAATCGTCGTGGCATGGCAGCCTTTGTCGTGCTCAGCCGAGTCCTATAATTTAAACCAACTGGACGTGACAGTAAATATATAACACAAACATTAACTCAAAAATAAATTATATATGAGGAAACATAATGGAGTAAATGTTTGTATGTATGGAGCAAATGTTTCTCGAATTGAACATTCCAGTTAAAAATAAGATGACGTAACAGGAGGAATTTTGTTAACAAATTAATTTATTGCATTCACAAAAGCAGCTATGAGCTCATGGCATGCCACAGCAACAACATAAATAAGAGCTAAATATAACAAGACAACAAACAAACTACAGCACCGAATGACTTCGTTTGTTAGAGACTTTACATACCATGCTAACCTAATGACAGTCCCGCGAAATCATGAAACCAAATTTTCAAAAATGAAAGGAACAAATAACGTTGTCTCGATAGCGTTGTAATAAAATTATAGTCTTCCTAAATATCGAAAGATGATGACGGATTAAATAATCGTGAATGAAATATTGAAGGCAACACGGTACGTTTTCATCTCGAATTCACGTCACATCCGCATGCTGTTTAGTACGGCAGGTGTTATTTACTGGAAATTTAACAATCACAGACGATTTATTGACTAGGCATGATTGTGACAAAATCAATTCAGAAAAAAAAAATTCTCACAAGGAAACTCAATTAACCACTAGACATGCACAGACATAAGCACTGACTAGAAACTATATTTAACAGCAAAAAAAGTAATTTAAAAATTAAAAGAAGTTCACCGCAATGCTGGCATACCCAAGCCCCTGATGTCACCCTGAGTAAAAATGTTGACAGTAAATACAGCCGAAAGATAATCATGTTCTGACAATGTGGAAAACATTTCGTATAAATGAAAACAAAATTGTTCTTTTGAACAGGTTCGTAATTGGCACCCAGTAAGTTTCAGCGAAAGACAAAACCCCAACTGGTTTGAACGGAACTCCAAAGAAATTCGTACTTTGGGGAAAAGTTGTATGGGTCAATTAAAATAAAGGGCCATTAGCCAATCAATGCGCCAGCTTTCTTTGTTTCTAACCATAGAGTTTTTAGGAACCATAATTTAGCGTAAAAATAAAAAACTGCAAGCGGGACACACAATAAGGAGAAGGAATATGCAATAATAAACAGGATCGCTTTTACCAGGAGGTCATCATGGCGGGACTGATGTGTGGCACGCGTTTAACGCACCTCATAAGCAACTCCTTGACGCTTTCCTCCTTGATGTCTTCAGACGTGTTGTCGTCTTTGGATCTCCAGAGATCGACGCTCTCGTCGCCGGTCTCGTCAGGCCGTGAGGGCAGGTCCGCATCGCTGTCAGGATACCCTTGACTCCCTCGCGAGGGATGAGGTTGGACACGTCCTCGGGAATACACTCTGCCGTGCACGGGGCAGTGTCCTATCAGAGAGGAAGCGCTTCCTGAAGAAGGATTACAGGCACAGTCCAAAGGACAAGGCGAGGAGGAAGGAGCCCCCAATGGCAGTGGCGGTGGTAGAGGCGAGGCAAAGTATTGCCGATGGCTGGGCTCAGTGGACAGTAGCACGCACGAGTAAGGGCTTCTCAGCGAGGGAGGCGAGGCATGACGAGGTGCATGCCTCCCTACCTCCAGAGATGAGTCAGAAATCCTCAAATGAGCGCCTCGGAGCCGTGGGAAGTCGGCAACAGCCGCGGAAGATCCCGGCCGAGGAAGGGATTGTCGGGGCGACGTTTGTCGAGGCAACGCGTGTCGGGGAGACAGAGACGCGGGCAGGGTCGCCGCTCGCAAGTCGGGGGCCGCGGGCAAGAAGTGCGGGTGGGTGGCGACGCTAAGCGCCGCCAGGTTCGAGTAGTTGGATAAATTGGAGTACTCAGACGGCAGATTAGCTGGCAGTGTTGCCGAACGAGCGCGGGGATCGAAAAAGAGATCGCCGTGTAATGACACGGGTGGAGGAGGAGGAGGGGGCGGCGGAGGAGGGGGCGGTGGAAGTGACTCTTGGTCATTCAGATTGTCAGGCTGAGACTCGCGCGATTCCAGCGTTTGACGCCGGCCAACTCCAGTGAGGTTTTCACTCGAAAAAGTTACTTGTTGGAAAATCTCACTCGGGGTGGCATGCTCGGCGAGCAGGTTGATTTGTTGTTGCGAGCGCGATTGTTGTTGTAACAGATCGTGTTGAATTTGCATATAGTCTCGGTGGAGAAGAAGATCCCGAGGAAGGTCATGAAATTGCTCATGATAGAGATCAGGATCGTGGTCATGGTACGAGTGTCGGAAGCGAGAAGAAGAGCCCGGAGAAGAGGGCGTGAGAGGCATGGAGGAGTCGGTTGTTCTCGAGGTTGGAGTTCGAGAAGGAGTTCGAGAAGTGTTCGACCTCAGTGAAGATGTAGTCGTAGTTCGAGTCGAGATAGATCGAGAAGAAAGCGTACGGGGAGCCGGCGTTGGAGGTAATTTACAGTCCGAAATGGATCCCGAATGATGATGGTCGAAAGAAAAGCGTTGTAGGTTGTTGTGGTCGGCGAGCAGAGCAGGGTCGGAGTGTGATCGGTAGCGAGGCGGCGGAGCGATGATACAGTGCGCCAAATCGAGAGAATGGATAGCGGCATGTAAGGAGGAGAAGCAAGTTTAATACCCCGTATTTGGCAGTGTGTCTGGGCACAAGTTCCCTCCGGGATACCCAATTAGGTATTCCGGGTATGGTAGTGTGTCAGAGAAAAAATTTCCTCTGCGATACCTGGTTTAATATTTCAAGTATGATGGTGTGTCTGGGCACAAGTTCCCTCAGGGATACCTGGTTTAGTATTCCGGGTATGATTGTTTGTCAGGGCAAAAGTTTCCTCCGGAATATCAGGTTCAATATTTCAAGTATGGTGGTGTGTTAGGGCACAAGTTCCCTCAGGGATACCTAGTTTAATATGGCAGTGTGTCTGAGCATAAGTTCTCTTCGGGACAAATAGTTTAATAATAGCCTGGTATGACATTCGGTCTGGGTTTAAATTTAATACAAGAAAGACTAACTGTTCAGTAATTATTTACCAAACTACCAGTTAGCATTTGGTTTCCTTGTAAAAAAACATGAGTGCGTTTTAATGTATTAACCATATTCACAAATACAATGAAGTTAAAGCCAACAACGATACATGTGTTGTGGGCAGAAAAAAATATGAATCACTTATTTAGCAAACGTATAAAGATCTTGAAGACGGTAAAGCTAGAACAGAACATAGACTGTTCAAACGATAATTTAATTCAATTTTCGGATGATAGAATACGTGGTTGTGATGAGCGATACGGAATTGTAATGTAATGCACAGGCAACAGAGAAGCAGTGGTTGAAAATACAAATGTGAAACATTGAAAGGCAAGGCGGAGAAAGACTTCATTGACAATAAAAAAGCATAACGTGATAGGGTAATGGGTAAAATGTACTAAAACAAACGAACATAATTTACCAAAAGTTTCAAATGATTGTAAATAACGAAATACAGAACATCAAGTGAAGTGAGTGCCTTCCCTAAGCATACAATGGATGCGCAAATGACGTCAGATTATATCCACAAATAAATTGATTTTAATCACTTTAAAATGAACATCCTTATTTCCATAATGCCTTTCAAACTCTCTCCTCTCTTGAAGATTTTCAATATATTAGAAAATTACGTATATATAAATAAATACTAATATTCATATACGTAAAATGTCTTAATTCTCTAAACTCTGACCTTCTTTCAGGACGATTATAAAGGGCTAAAAACCAATACGCAGGAGACGTTGAATAATATCAAGGTTTGTTAAATCCAAGATTTTTAAAACCAACGAGCTTTTATTTCGTAACGACTTTATTATCATTCTAACACAATGACCACATGCAACTTCAGAGGACGAAATAGTTAAATAAATGTACTCGTAATAATTATTAGGATCAAATATGATTACTAAAACAGTTGTACTAAATGTACATTTCTTGATACATACAATAGTTAGAAACGGATTGATTACAATCAGAGTAAATAATAATAATAAGCAAGCTTCAAAATATCAGAGATTATGTTTGAACATGTCCGGTTTATTCCCACAAAAATCTCGAAGAATTGTTGAAAAAAACATTATCCAAAACTGATATAACAAAAAAAAATTAAATGCATTTCATTGACCGCTGAGCATAGATAAAGGCTTCAATGGCATGCAATTAAGGCAGCATTGGCTTTTCATGTACCAACGATCGTTATGAGCGTTAAATTAAAATGTAAATGCAACTGCATATTTACTGACTTCATTTCAATAGCATCGTTAGAAACTCGGTAAAGTTCAGGCTGAGGTCGCCTTTCACCTTGGTCTTATAATAATGGCTAACGATGAGCAGCATCAATATGCCAGTGACATCAATATGCCAATAATGGCCAGTGATGAGCAAGATTAACGTCATCGCTCTGTTTGAACCACACATGAACAATTAATTTCGAACGGAACACTGAAAATACAAGACAGTGTATTGTCTTGTATTAATTGCAAACCACTATACATTCCTGCGTTGTATTTCTGAACTATAACAATAATTTACACTAGCTATAAATGAAGCTAACTATAATTTCAACGAAGATTGTGTGCAAACAAGTACACAAGCTGAGAGAATAAACAAGAAGGTTTATAGTACAATGCAAATTATTTCTCTTCGTTAAAAAATATTTTATTTTTTCATCCGTTTTACAACGGTAATAGAGACCCCCAGAAAAAAAATGTGTTCGTATTTTTGAACTTCAAAGAGTGCGTGGTAGTCTTAAATTTTTGTCGACTTTTAATAGTAGTGGCCGTTTTTTTGAATTGATAATAAAGTGGGAATAATGTATTATCAATAAAATAATTAGAACTCTTTTGAAGTGCAAGATTAAAATAACCAGATAACTACTTGATCGAAGCATAATTTCGTATTTCATCAACAAAACATTTACTCGACCATGTCTTGGCGCCCGCTCGCACTTCAGAAGGAAGATTTTTGTTGCGGAAAAAATGTCGCTTTCGCTTTATCAAAATCCCTTAGGAAAAGACCAGGCAATCGCTTGTTCCTACGAAAATGTGCGCCCGCTCCCGTCATACGTGTTATAAATTCGTACGAAAAATAGAGAAGGAAACTGGGTACTTTTTTCACGCGTTTTTTCTCATTTTTTTGTGGCATGGTATAAGCGAATGCTATGCCTAATGAAAAGAAACTAAGGAGCATTCGTGATGATGCAGCAAAAAATAATGCATGAATTTGTTGAATAAATTCTAAATCGGACAGCCTTCGCTATTATTAAAGTGTCGTTTCAAAATTAGAGCTCATGAGAACGCCCGTCATAAAAGCGATCGCTATACTAAATAATTAGTATTTAGTTTATTTACTAACCGGCATCATTTAAAAAAATAAAAAATTGTATAAGCTAGTAAATGCACATTACAAGTGATGAACACACTAAAGAACAAGTCCACAAGAACACCAAAGTTCAAGAACATTTGATATTCGAACATAAGCTCCAGACGGCAGGGGTGGGGGTGACCCCAACTAGGAGGGGAGGGGGTGATTACCCCTACAAGGGGAGGGGGTGATTACCCCTACAAGGGGGGGTGATGAAATATTATAGTAAGAAATTACATCGAAAATTTCACTCTTCAGTAGAGCAACATGATGAGAGCAGCACTGTTATGCTTATATATTAATGCCAGACAGTACATGTGCGATTCTCATAACTTTGTGGCATCATGGTAACTTTCGTGGTAACACAAATGGTAACAAATGGTAACATTTGTGGCATCGCATGGTAACTTTCAGGGTAACTTCAGACAACTTTCAGGGTAACTTCAGACAACTTTCAGGGTAACTTCAGACAACTTTCAATGCACTTATCATGATAACTATCATGGTAGCGCAATCTGCAGCGTTGCGGTTGTGGCAATCATTAGCAGGATACCGGGGCAAGAGATGACATATTATTAAACCTTTACAAAATTATTCAGAGCATTAGTTGTGTGGCAACCAAATAGGTTAGTTGTTAATTAGATAGTTGTTACATTAATTGGTTGGCTGTTGATCAAGTTTACTTGTTTATTTTAACTTAATTGCTAAATTCTAATCTATATTGTATAATTACTTAATTAGTTGTTTGCTTCGAAACTAATTATTCAGAAGCTAACTTAATTGTTCAGTAGTTAACTTAATTGTTCAGTAGTTAACTTAATTATTCAGTAGTTAACTTAATTGTTCAGTAGTTAACTTAATTGTTCAGCAGCTAACTTAATTGTTCAGTAGTTAACTTAATTGTTCAGCAGTTAACTTAATTGTTCAGCAGCTAACTTAATTGTTCAGCAGTTAACTTAATTGTTCAGCAGTTAACTTAATTGTTCAGCAGCTAACTTAATTGTACAGTAGTTAACTTAATTGTTCAGCAGTTAACATAATTGTTCAGCAATCAGCAGCTAACTTAATTGTACAGCAGCTAACTTAATTGTACAGTAGTTAACTTAATTGTTCAGCAGTTAACTTAATTGTACAGCAGTTAACTTAATTGTACAGTAGTTAACTTAATTGTTTAGTAGTTAACTGAATTGGTGGTTGGTTTTAACTCGACGGCTTGGTTATCAACAATTTGATTTAAATTCGGCACAAACGTCAAGCTATTCAAGCCTTAGCCACTCCGCACCATTATTAACAATGTACAGAACGCGATGCAGTTCATTTTAATCCGTTCGTAATAACGCATTACAAATACGATAAAAAAGGCATAAGCTGTCAATGCTTGTCAAAATCCTGATGCGCGCAAAAATGCGCTAAAGTTTCTCGGTAAAATATTTGCATTGAAAAAAAAAATATATTTATCCCAAATGCAAATCATAACAAATGAATGACTTACTTGATGATGAATGAGCTTTGAAGAGCGATGAGATGTACTAACAATAATAATTCATAATAAATAACAAATTAACGACGTTATGCGTTCAAAGCAAATAAACAAAAAATAAAAATTGTTAAAAGGCTCAACTCAATCGTTATCTATCATGAAACACAAATTAATTGAAGAGTTTATGATCATAATGTGAACAAGATTAACACATTATAACCATCGAATCCTATTCTTAAAATCTAAAAAATAGTGAATAATTTGATGAAATATGAATGATAGAGAATGACAGGATGTATTATGAGAAAGGCACACGAGAAGTCAAGAAATTGAATATTTTGCTAAGTTACCATGTACAATGTATGAAAGCATCAATCAACTTTTTCATTTATGCTCGAGTCAATAGAATCATAAATTTATAACCTGTACGCCAGAGTTTAGTTACTTTTAGTATGAAATTCATTTTGCAAGTAACTCCCTCACTGTTATTCCTAGACTCCGCATTATTTCAGCCAATCAACAAAATTCAGTTCAAATTTCTTAAGAATTGATATAAAAAAAGAGACAACTATACGAACTTTGCCAACGAAATAGCTTAGGGATAAGAAAATTGACTGAGCACTGCGTTTAGACTAAGATATTAGATCAGATATACAACAGTTGGAGAGATTCGTTTTCACAAGAGTACCGGACGAAAAAACAGATTTCAATTGCATCATAAATAAC